GTCCAATATATTGTCATAGATCTATGCTGGAATTCTAGTCACTAAATGAGACTCTGAGCTTTGTTATCCATGTTTGTTAAGCATAGAGATCACTCTTATAGAATCCCCTTCAACAATAACCTTTTCTCAAACCTAAGGACGAAGGATATCATATACCAGCGAGAAATCCCCGTAAAAAAATGAAAATAATTTAAGTAGAGGATTAAAAAGTTATGAAATTATTAATTTAATAGCCTTATTTAGGAGACAACTACTAGATTTTGCTGCAACCTGAGGACCTTTATAGAATGCCGAGCTCATAAAGCCAAAGAAAAATATAATAGCGTAAAGAAAGAAACTGTTAATAGCAAAACAAACTTCACAAATGGCTTGCGTCATGTTGAATAAGGTAGTGTTTGATGCACAAAGAGGAACAACACAAGAGAATAGGAAAACACAATGTTTTGTTTTGTTTATTGTTCGTTAGTTGAAGTTTGTTTATTGTTCGTTAGTTGAAGGACAACACATGTAATTTTGTGCTGAATATTATTTGATATGCAATTGGACTTATTAATGCAAATTTTACTATAATACATGTTGGAGAAGTATATAAACCATTGATGTTCATTTATTTAATACCTTAAGTTTTTAGGTTGAATTGGTTCTTTACATGCTATCAGAGCCTCGATGTTACGGCGGGTTCAATCTTCATTGTCCCCCTCACTTTCTCTTGTGAAATTTCTTAACACATGTAGGTGGGCTTGTGCACTGTCCACCTTTCATACCCAATTGGCTCTCGTGTAAAAATCATTGATGTAATGATGTGTCTTCACTTAATAACTTAAGCTTTTGGGTTGAATTGGTTCTTTACAGTACCCTTTATGAAATAATTTGTTTATTTTGAATTAAAAAATACATATAATAATATTTTACTATTATTTAGCTATTTTCACACTTTAATTTTATTTTTAATTATCAATAATGTTAATTTTCTAAATTAATTTTTATATTTATCATGTGATTATCAATAAAAATTATATTTTGGGTGGTGGTATAATATATTTTGATAGAGGTCGATGGTTTATTATTCGACGAGGTAAACAAATTTTACAAATATAACATTAATAATTAGGTGTTTTCATTTGTTATGTTATTTAACAAATTCAATTTTTAAATAGGTATTTTCATATGTAAATTATTTCCATAAAATCACAAGTCATAATTAAATTAAATATTTTTGTACTACCAACATAAATTTAAATTGTTTTCACTTAGTATTTCCATGAAAGAGAGTTTTATGAGACTAATATATATTATTAAACTTGCTCTAAATTATTTTTCATCCCTGTCTTTAGTTTCTCTCTTTAAACCCCGATCATGTTTTGACAATGGCAATTGGGCATTGAAGTGATGTGACAGAGAGTAATTTTGGTTTTGTATGTTATATGCAGATAAAAAGTAGTTCATGGTTTGGTAGGGGACAAATATTTTCAATTTTGACCGATACTTCACCCTTAGTTTTGTCCTGTCCCTTGATCATTTTTAATATCAAATGTTGGACAAAGAATTTTGGCCTGTCTAGAACTTTATTTTTAAGCAAGTCAAACAGGCCCAAAGTATTAATACTACAATTTAGGGACATTTGGTAGAGTAGAAATTTTTTTTATTCGAAAATTAAAATTTCCTGAAATATGGTGGGAAATTGACTTTTTCAAAAATATTATCAAAATGCTGCTTTGTAGGCCAAAATTTTCCTGGATATATTGGGTGAATTTTATTGAGTTAATGTTTGGTTGATTGTAAAATATTACTGGAAATATGGATCAAAATTATAATTACACCCTCAATTTTGAATAATCAGCCTTTTTTTGTCTCTCAACATTTATTCCCCCAGCTCTCTCTCTCTCTATCCGATATTCAACCTTTTCTTTTCTGGTTACCTCCATAATGAGCAGTGTGAAATCGACAAGCTAAAGAGTGGTTGAGGGTAAAGTCAAATTGGGTTTTGCAATTCTTGCAAGCTTTAAGGTTTATGCTAGTTTTGTGGTTGAAACTTGAGCAACATTGAATAGATGGGAATTGAAGCAAGCATGTGTAGGTGATGTTGGTCTTCGTTGAATGTATGCGTTGAGGTTGCACTACAAAAGGGATTTTGTTCTCATGAAAAAGAGGATGGTGTGGAAAGGAAAGAGCCATGGAGCTATGCGAACACAATAAGAATTGTGTTGCTACATGCTTTCACAAGGGAATACTCAGGTTATCTTTGTCACAATTTTGTGGTTCATTTTCCATCTTCCCGAGAAAGTCAGAATAAGAAGATGGTATTTTGATTTAAAATTTACACACAAAATGAAATTTCGGAAAAATCAATTTCTCGATTTTTTTTTAAATATGCTACCAAACATTATTTTTTTGGAAACCTATCATCACTTTCTCGGGCATCTGAAAATAATCATCCTACCAAACAGTCCTGATTAGGTAAAAAGCTAGTAAATGGTAAAACATAGGGAATTGGGAATAGCACGATTGTTTGTTATGTTGCATTGACACTGATATGGAACACAATACAACACGATATTTTAACATATTAATTCTAAAAAATATTAGATTTCGACACGTTAGGACAAGTTTTGATATTAAATGATATTTTCGAATTTATGTAGTATATATTATATTTAATATTCAATAATTTAACAAAAAAATGAAGCTAAACTTATAATACCCATCAATTTTACAAACAAACATAAGATATCACAAATATTTATATTAAACTCAATAAAATGGTAATCTTAATCTAACAAATCTAATAGTTAAAACTAAAAACGCAATGCAACACAATCTTTGAATCTTTTTTTGAGTCTTTACAACCTGTGTTGAAGTGTCGGAAAATATCGGACACAACACATCACTCTTTCTGAAGTGTTGGTGCATCATATATTGTTTAAAGAGAGTGAAATTGAATTTAATGTTGGGGTAATGGGATGAAATGAACAATCTTTAATTGCACCCATTTATTTTTCCTAGTTCGTTCAACAATTTGGAAAGTGAACTATACTATGAATGAAGAAAAACAAACTTATATTTAATTTGCTTTTTATTAATGTTAACGAACAATAATATTTTTATTTTTAAATTTTGTCAATTAAAGTTTTAATCTATATTAAATTAAACTAAAAATAAAATGTTTATTTTATTTTTATTTGCTTTTTTTTGGGCTTAGCCAATCATGTGTACCAAAAATAGTATTAATTTAAAATTTATTTCTAAATCACATTAAAAATAATTAATAAATTTATTTGCACAAAATTTTCTTTCATAATTTTTATGAAGAATGAACTTTCTTCCAATAATCCACCCATCTACATATTTTTTAAATGGCTTTAATGTTTCTTCAGTGAATGTAGATGAGTTATCTACATTCACTCCTAAAACGACGTTATTTTGGGTTAAAATTTAAAAAAATTATAATAAAAAAGATTATTATAACCCTGAAACAAATTATAATTACAAAAATATCTTAATTTTCGCCTCAAAACAACAGTGCTCAATGTAAGTAAATTATCTACATTGATCATAGAAAAAGCGAACCCTTTTTAAATATAACTAACTAGTCCCTTATGGGACCAGATCTCTTCTTGATCTAATTAGTACAAACAGCATTACTATTCATTGACTTTAACTTTTTAAGCATTTCAATTAACATTCATGAAATGATTTCATTGATATCAATCAGTCATAACATGTATAAATTAGATTAATATATATTTATTAGTTTTACTTTTTGAGTATTTCAAACCCTTCTTATAAAAGAATTAAATTATTATTCATTAATCAGATTAGTATCGAATAGCATTACTATTTATTAGCTTTACTTTTTCAGTTATATGTCACGAAATTGCATATTAGTTATTACAGTTATATGCAAAGCTTGTGGACATACGAGGTTTACAATTTTTGGTATTATTTGAAATTAAAAAATCATTAAAAAATTGACAATATGTAATTCAGCTTGAATTTTGGTTTTGTATATAATCCGCTGACATTTCAAAATTGGACATTAAAATAGGTTTTTTGAATTTGACTAAATATATGTTTGGAAGTAGGAATAATACACATACATCAATTCAATTTTTGGTAACTAACGTCTCTGCTATCAATTGACAATATGTAACTAAGCTTGAATTTTGGTTTTTTATATAATTAATCCGCTGATTTTTGAAAATTGGACATTAAAATCGGTTTTTTGAATTTGACTAAATTTATGTTAGGAAATAGGAGTACACATACACATTTACTAAATTTTGGTAACTCTCACACGTTCTCTGCTATCAATTGACCGTTAATTGTTTTAAACTTCTTTATTCATCACTAATATTTCATAACCGATTTTTCACCAAAAAATATATATTTCATAACCGATACTTTAAAAAATTTGACGTGTCATGTTCTATATTTCTCGATATTTCGACATTCTCACACATTCAAACACGCGTTGCAGATACTTAAAAAAGGATTCAAAATTTGCATTGGATACGTTTTTAGTTTCAACTATTAGATTCGTTGGATTATGATTATCATTTTATTGAGTTTAATATAAATATTCAGAATATCTTATCTTTCTTTGTAAAATTGATGAATATTATAAGATTAGTTTCATTTTTTTATTAAATTATTGAATATTAAATATAATACATATTATATAAATTAAAAATATTATTTAATATCAAAATGTGTCCAAACGTGTCAAAATCTAAATTTTTTAAAATTAATATGTCGGAGTGTTATATCATATATCATGTCCCGTGTCGGTATCGGTATAACATAATATTTCATAATTGACTCTGAAATAAAGGGACAAATAATTCTAATTGAATATTGGTGACATGTTTGGGGCGATATAACATTAATTAGTATTTATTGACTTTTCATAAAAGAACGATAAATTATATTTTTTAACGTATTTGAAATCCTTATACAAAAGCCAGATCAGCCTTAAAGCAATTTCACATTACCTTCACACTATGAACAAGATGGTTTACATTGTTTTTCTCTTCGCCCTTCTCTTATCTATTGTCCAAGCTTCTGTCAATGATTTTTGTGTAGCAGATCTAAAGCTTCCAAAAAGCAATTCAGGGTATCCATGCAAGTCACCTAATGAAGTAACAGTCGATGACTTTGTGTTCTCTGGCCTTGTAGCTAAAGACACCACAAATTCTTCTTTCGGAGCCGCAGCAACCGCAGCATTTGTTGATAATTTTCCAGGTTTAAATGGGCTTGGCATATCTGCAGCACGATTAGACCTAGCTGAAGGTGGATCATTCCCAATGCACACTCATCCTGGTGGCACTGAACTAATAATAATGTTGCAAGGTGAAATGATTGCTGGTTTTATTACATCAAATAATGCAATTTATTCCAAGACACTGAAACCGGGTGATTTGTTTGTTATTCCACAAGGACAAATGCATTTTGTAGTAAATTCAGGTGTGGGAAAAGCAACTTCTATTATCGCTTTCAGTAGTGAAAATCCAGGTGTGCAAATACTTGATCATCTATTATTTGGCAACACCTTATCTTCTGACATCGTGTCACAAACTACTTTACTTGATGTTGAACAAGTTAAGAAGCTAAAGGCTCGTTTTGGTGGCAGTGGCTAGGATTCTTTCTGTGTATCCACTCTTACAATTTTTATTCTAATAATAATCGTTTATCATAAATTTGTTTGTCAGTGCTAGCTCTTCTTTGTTCCTTATGGTTTGTAGCTTTTGCAAATGATGAATATATAATCGGATTAGTGTTTTTCGTGTAGGAGATAATTTTTTTTTATATATATATATAGTCCCACATTGGTTGTATGTGCAACTAATGTGAAGTTTATAAGACCTTGGACACTCTCACCACCCTTTGAACTAGCTTTTGGGGTGGTGTATCCCAAAGTTCTTTACATATACACATAAAAACATATGGAATCTATGCTATTTATTTGTGTACGTGCAAGACTTTATTTGTGTATAAGAGATAACAAACATTAATCCCATAAATAATACCGGATGATTTCATGTTTCTTATCTCTTTTTCTCTCTCTCTCTCTTGGCTGTATATGATAATTATATTCATCTTTTTAATTTCAGAAATATTTCGAGACATATAGGGCACAATTGTTTACCGGTTAAAGTTTTATTCAAAGTTAGGCCACAACGTGCTTTTAAATGATGTGTACTGTTTAATAATGATAGTGTGAAAGAAAGCCCAAAGGCGTTGAAATAAAAACTTTTATAATCCAATAGTTTAATGCATGAGAGCTGTATCAGAAAATTGTTCTTTGAACTAGAACTGTGTGTAGGAATAAATTTGCACTTTTTAATTGTTGGCCTACAAATTGCCGGTAATTGATTGTGGCCACTAAGCTCATTTTATAATAGGTCGTTTTTTACTCATAACTCTCGAAATTATAATTTAGCATATTGAGTTGAGGCTTAAAAAAATTATCTTCCATTAAAATATATATATATATATTATTTTTAAATATTTAAATATATATATATATATATATATATATATATATATATTCGATACTTAAAAATATAATTATATTAAAATTTAAATAATATAAAAGAAATAAACTTTTATTAAGATATAGATTTACATGGTAAAAGTCATCCAAATTCGAATGCAATAGTTTCGAATGTATAAAAAATATATTATTTGCTTGATAATTAATAATTAATATTGCGCATACAGATAAGTCATATGGAAATGGATCTCTCATATCTAATTTTAATATGATCATGTCATGTGATGAATCTCAACCATTCAATTAGAGAATAATTGTCATAATTTTATTGACAAATTATAAAATGAAAGAGAAGAAATATTCAAAGTGCAGACTATTGATCATTAATTGCTGACTGTTGATTGAGATTCATATGACCTGGTCATATTAAAATTAGAGTGTGCATGACAATTTTTCAGAAATCGATTTTTTTTTAATTTCTATTCCCGGGAACAGAAATAGATAAAAAAACTCGTTTGGTAAAACTAGTTTATTCTTCAAATACCTTAAAAAATATAAGAAAAAAGAGAGTCTCCAAGTAAAATGGAAGCATACATTTGTATATAACTACAATAGATCGAAATCAACATCCAACCATATACTCAAATTTCAGAACCTAACACAAATCCAAGCTATATCAAAACAAATTGTTCATTTTGAAGAACCAAACAAGTGACCCGAAACATAAAGCCGACAAAATATCATAAAAAATGAATCTCATCCAACCAAACGACTAACCTCTGCTTGTTGAAAATGACAAACTACTAGGTATCGTTGAAAACGACAGCGGCGAGGCGGTGGAGTGGGGCGGCGCGACGGCGGAGGTGGAGTGGGCGGCGAGATGACGGCTATGGGCAGCGGCGGCAGTGACGGTAGAGAGTACAATCAGAGAGAAGGGAAGAGAGAGGGTATATATAAGGATCAAATTAAGACCGTCAAATCAAAAAATCAATCTAACAGTGAGATTGATTGGTAGTAACATAGTAATAACCCTACTTGGTTGTCACAATATCCTATTCCTTTATTTTGAGCATTTCTCCAAAATATATAGGGATACAGTGATAGTGATGAAATGAAATTGTTATTTCTTATTGGAAGTAGTAGTTTAGCTTACTACCTCCTTATTTTTCTAAAATTTAGCTAAGGGGTTTTTTTTTTTTATCAGGGATTGTAGTATCTAATGATTAATGGGTTAAGTTATAAAAAAACCCATTAACCATTGGATACTACAATGTCTATTAAAAAACCCATTAGCTAAATTTTAGAAAAATAAGGAGGTAGTAAGCTAAATTACTGATTCCAATAAGAAATAGTAACTTCATTTCATCACGATGATTATATTTAGGGATGTAAATGATTTAGTTAAATGATTTAGTTAGGGGTTTATGATTGGGCTTATATCAGGTCGGATTTATCTTATTACATATAATGAAAATGATCATGTTTAAGCTTAAAAAAAACTATTTAAAAAGTAGGTCATAAATTTTTCTTTTATATGCCGAGCTTATAGGTCTACAGACCGACTTATATTATATTATTTATTTTAAATAAAATAAGTAAATTATTATTTTAATAATTTTGAATAATAACGTAACATTATTTTAATTATTTTTTTTAATTATTGAATGCCTAATAGACTTTAACAGACTAACAAATCTAAACAAGACTTTTGATTTTTAAATATATGTCAAATCAGACTTATAATTTGAGTCTACACAGACTGACAGATCAGACCAGATCTTAAGTATTTTATATAGATCTGGCTCATTTAAGTAAAAATTTTACCCGATCCAACCTATTTACACTCCTAATTATATCGTTATGTATTTAGTTATTTATAAAAAAAGTAACTAAGCTGAAAACTTTGGTGCCTAACTTAGATTTGTTTCTAACTTAGTCTTTTGACCCTCACTTTTCTAGCTTAGTTTCTAGAAGTCAAGGATTTTTGGTTCTGAGTTCACCCCTGTTACTTCTATTATAATGGCAAAATTGAGACTTTTGTTTATCTGAAGTTGCATCAATTCGTTGGAATTACCATGACTCACTAAAAAACGTAAAGCAGTTTTCTTACTTATTATAATCCTCAATTCTCATGCAACTTTACATCCTCAGTTTTTAAATTAGTGGAGCTAAAGATTTAATCTATGACACTAACGATTTAAACACTGATTTATTAGAGGTGGCAAAATGGGTCGATCCGCCCGCCGCCAACCCACTAAAAATGAGTTGGCCTGCCCTGCCCCGTATTTTAATATGGGTTAAAAATCTCAATCCTGTTTTGTGGTGGATTGACGGGTCAACCCGTCTAAAAAAATAAAATAAAAATAAAAATAAATTATATTTTATTAATTTTATAATATTTCTTATTTTCATTTCACAATCTCTTTAGTTTTTTTTTCCAATCTCAAACCTAAATGTATACTAATATTCAGTAAAATATTTTTTAGAAATTTATTTTTGTCTCAATAGATGAATAACCTTTGTAATAAATAAAGTTTTTCTTCTTTGTTTTTTCTAGGGGAGTACTAAGATAAAAAAATTTCATATCACAAAAATTTAATGACAAATAAAATACTACATATTAGTAAAAAAAATTGACCCGCGGACCAACCCGCTCCGACCCACCGCCAATCCATTTTGACCCACAACTAAGCGAGGCGGGTTGAGATGGATTAATGGATTGAAAAGTATAACCCAACCCGCCCCGTTTTGACGGATTGACGAGTTGACCCGTCGAGTTCAACCCAAATTGTCACCTCTATGGTTTATCCCTTTAAGATTTATTTCTAAATTTGAAATAAAATTTATCATATGATAGATGAATTGGTGCTATTTGATTGGTTGATCCTGTGACCAAAGCGCCAAGAAAGATTGCAAACAATATGATCTATCATATATGTAATCATATAAAAATTATAAGATATATATATTTTATTTTATTTTTTAAATTACGAGCAAAGCATGTCTTAAATTAGCTACATATATCAAAGGTAAAGAAATCTATAAATTAGCTACATATATCAAAGGTAAAGAAATCTATGAAAAAGATTAGTGCACATAACAGATTATTCAAACCATTCAAACTTAGGACAACTTCATAAAGGAATTGAAAACCAATCAAGTGGATCCACATCAAAGCAATATGAACCCAATTTTTTTTATAATAATTAAATATCAACTGTAAGCGTAACTTTGATCCTGAGCACACAATAGGTACCAAAAAAAATTAAAAAAAATCAATATTATATATACAAAAGGAGATAAACAAATCTACCAATGCAAAAGTATGTTTTTTGATCCTGTTTCCTGAATAAGGCAATCGGTATAAACTAAATGGCACTGTAGTGGTATGAAAAAATGAACATCTCATTCCAACGATCATCCCTTTTTGTCAAAACTCAACTACAAAGCTGAGTACATAATTGCTGGATTTGGGAACTGGTTGGATCTTGCTTGTAGTATGTACTGGATTTACCATTGCTTGAGCATGTTACGTTTAGCTGGTTGCCAAGCTGGTTTGACTGCACTCATAATGTTTCAACAACATTAATATCCAGACCAAAACAAGAAGAAAAAGAACACTCAACCACAAAAAGAATTAATATCAGGGGTTAAGAACAAAAAAAGACACTTAAATGGTTAACACCAAGTACAAGGGATCTTTGATCATCATAAAGTAATGTGTAATGAAAAAATTGGTCTAGTTGACGGTAACACCTATATGTTTTTTATTTTTGAAGATCACCAAGTTGTTTAGAGAGTTCAGCAAAGAAAAGAAAGCAGTTTAAAGATTGCATTAGACTCTTTGACAAGTGTTACAAATGTTAAATCAGGGAGTGAAAAAATATTTATTTATTAATATCCTTCAAACACGACAAACTATAATAATACATGAAAAAGGGGGTTAAAGATGTGTTACAGTTTCATAAAATTGAGTGAAAAATAAGTCATTTCATGGGATCTGATAAATTTTATTCATATGAAGAGGCTTTCAGGTAAAATGCTTACCAAACAATATGCTGTCCCAGTATGGCAGCTCCATTTTGATGTTGGAACACAAGACAGATAATGGCACCAGGAGCAGTGATCATTTGCATCAACACCACGAAGAAGTGCAACCAGCCCAACAGTAAGCCTGTCACATTAGACAATTTTGTTGGGTTAAATTTTAATGAGATAAAACAGAAAATAGAAAATAGAAATGTGAAGAGTTTTCTGGTGAAGAGTCATGTCCTTAGGTTTGTGTCAGTGGACATTAATGAGTTTGAAGTTATGTCAGTTAGAATATTAATGAGTCAGTTATGTCAGTTAGAATATTAATGAGTCAGTTATGTCAGTTATAAAGTAATGAGGGTGTTATGTGTGGAGTTATGTTGGTCAGTTTTATAGCTTATAAATAGCCTTTGATAGTTTGTATGAAATGTAGATCAAGAGATCAAGTAGATCAAATAGATCAAGAGATCAAGAGAATAGATTTGACAACAGAAAGTTCTTCATAGATATACTTGTGTGGTTGTCACTTGCATCTGTGTGGATATCCAAATTCTAACAAATTGGTATCAGAGCTTGGGCTATGGAGGAAAAGAACGAGATGGAAGTGCCACTCTTCCATGGAGATAAGGATGAAGCATTAGATTGGCTTCTCTGTTTGAAGGAACATTTTCGGAAAGAAAAAATCTGGACGGAGGACAAATGGCAGGTAGCCATGAGAAGACTCAGAGGAAGCGCAATCAAATGGTTCCGTACATGGAACTGCCGCGACTTTAATAATATGTGGAAGGATTTTCTAATGGCCTTCGTAACAAAATACTTGCCTGGACGTTTTGATCTGATTAATGAAGAAGATGAAATCTTCAATGATGATGATGAAGATGAGGAAAATGATGCGGATGAAGAAGAGACCGAGATGGTGGAATCCGAGGTTGCCAACGGCAACGCATCCGCGGAGGAGATTGACGTGTCAGAATGCGTAAGAGACGACTCGGAGAAGAAGACGATGGAGATGACTGCGGCCGAAGGAGCCGAGATAGAAGAGGAGAAGAACGAAGGAGCTGAGATAGAAGATGAGGAGAACGAAGGAGCCGAGATCGAAGCGGAGAAGGACGGGAACGACGAGTCTATTGTCGAGGTAGAAGACTTCGTGGAACCTGAGTGTCTGGAGACAGAGTCGAAAATCGGAAAGGAGATTGAGAAGCCGAGGTGCTTGATGGAGACCGGCATGGAGGAGACCGCGAATCCGAGTTCCGTGTTGATAACCGGGTTGGGTGAGATCCCGGCTAAATCACCGAGTTCATGTTTTGGAGAAGAGCTCGACCCCGGCGTGATGAGGTTGATGTCGGAGACCGGCATAGGTGCGGTTCGGGTTGGAAGTCAGAAGTCGAAGACTGCATTGAATTTATGGTGGAAGTGGAAGATGTCGACACCACCGAAAAGAGACCATTTCCCTGGAGGACGGTGGTCTGAGATTCCATTGTTGAGGCGCGTGGAAGCTGGACTCGATGAAGAAGAACCCGACGATGAAGAAACTGAAAGCGGAAAGATGGAAAGTGTGATTGTGGATAGGGAACCCGGCGATGAGGAGCCTAGAGTTACTTTTATGGTGGAATCATTTTGGCTCAAGCGTAAACCAGAAGAAGATCGTGGGGCGGAATCAGAAAATGATGAGTTGAGTTATTTGCTTGATGATGGGAATCAACGGTCCTCAATGAGTGATGGGGTTACTATGGTTGAAGAGGCCCAACGTGCTATTAATGTAGCACATGTTGAATCTGAAATTATTAAAATTGGCATAGGTGTTGTAAAACTAATGGGACGTTATAGTGATACAGATACTTATCAGTATGATGACTTGTGTGAAGATCATACATGTAAGAATGGATGTGGAAGTATATTGGAGGATGAGGTCGACAGAGGAACATTCAAGACTGTCTATCTTCCACCAATGAAGGAACCGCCGGACAAAAAAAAATAAATTGAAGAAAGGAGTGCAACATGGAAGCAGCGCGAAAAAAATCAACCGGTGGAAAATTCAAAAAAAAGAATTAAAATTTAAGGGGGAGTTTTGTTGGGTTAAATTTTAATGAGATAAAACAGAAAATAGAAAATAGAAATGTGAAGAGTTTTCTGGTGAAGAGTCATGTCCTTAGGTTTGTGTTAGTGGACATTAATGAGTTTGAAGTTATGTCACTTAGAATATTAATGAGTCAGTTATGTCAGTTAGAATATTAATGAGTCAGTTATGTCAGTTATAAAGTAATGAGGGTGTTATGTGTGGAGTTATGTTGGTCAGTTTTATAGCTTATAAATAGCCTTTGATAGTTTGTATGAAATGTAGATCAAGAGATCAAGTAGATCAAATAGATCAAGAGATCAAGAGAATAGATTTGACAACAGAAAGTTCTTCATAGATATACTTGTGTGGTTGTCACTTGCATCTGTGTGGATATCCAAATTCTAACAAATTTAACATTGAACTACAGGTAAAAATGATTAAAAATAAATAAAAAACAAAGCATGAATATAAATAAGATGATGGACCAGGCAGAATCTGCAATGCAATCATGCATAAAATTGAATTTCATATATACATGCATATTTACATTAATAAAGGGTATATCTATTTCGTTATCAACCTTAGGTTGCTTCAATTTGTGGAAGAAACAGAAAAATATTGTTTCAAGAGATCATAGCTATCTCAGTGCCCGGTAAGTCCACAACAAACTTAAACTAGGTTTAGAAGATCTTCTCAGTAGTAATAAACAATTATAGTAACTAGACTTGCTGTTGCATGATTGTCAGAGGCACCAAAACAAAAAACACATATAAGGAGATAACTACAACAACACCTAAGCATTTCATTCCTGGTCAACTTGATGACCGACATTTAATAGTATTCAGATCTGTCATGATTTTCACAACTACTTCAGTTGGAAAATCCTCATATATCTAAATTATTTGAGCAAATAAGCAATCAAGTTTCTCTTGCAATCAACAACTAAAAGAGCATGCCTCCAGTTTGTAGAGTTCCACCAACACATCCTATAATATGCTATAATCTGCTTGTAAATTTTAGAACTAGGTCAAAGCTTCTTTATAATTCATTACTTAAGATACAGGTTTGCTCTCATTATATTGGATGACATTTTAGAAGTTTCCCTCTTCTGTATCACTTCTGCTTCTGTAAGCGGGAACATCAGGCTTTCTTACCTAGTACAAAGCTGAAAAAATTGTTACTTATAGGGGATCCTAATATGCCATTCAGGCAAGTAAAACGCTTCCCTAGATCTTTCCGGTAGCATCGACTCGCAACATTATTTTCATGAGCAAAATGAACAAAGAGAGTAAGCTTTCCAAGATATAGATATAACAATTTATCAATTTATGCTTCCTGCTAGGATATGTTCTGCAGAACTCTTATATAGTGTTGTAGCCAAAAACATAGGATTTAGTATTTGCAGCTATAAGTGTAAATTTCCAATAACTCATTTGTTAGTGCCACTTGTAATCACAAGTTTGAGCTCTCTCCAGCCAGGTGAGACTCAAGTGGAAATAACAGTTAGTCTTTTAAAACAACATCATATAACTACTATCATTTTCTTAAAATATCTTTCTTTTCATACCACTCTTCTTGTTTTTATCATTTCATTTCTGATATGAAGCATATGAATATTTATCTTACTAATAGTCTAAAAAAAAATAATTTAAAAAAAAAGAGAAGGTGTAAAACTGCTATTTAGTGATTAGGATCATGAAACTGAGTTATAATATCCAATAAATGTAACAGAAGACATTGATGGGTTAGATATGATTTTAGATTCTGCCTAAAACAAATAACTTGGTTTTTAATGCTACAAGTATTTTTCTTTAGTATAGTAGAAACTGAATCTAAAACCTCTAAAAACTTAAGGCAAACCAAAACTGAATTTACCCCAACTACTTGAGTAAAGCCCAGGTCTCATATGTCAGCAGGGTTAATAATGCTCAAGTCTCCCCTTAAATATATACTTTAGCTAGAGCAACTTAATCTAAGAAAAAGTGACACTTCAGATGTTTACCCAACAATTAAAATGATGAGGGAGAAGACCCATAAGATGTACTGATATTTCTTGAATTTAGGCTTAGCTCGAGAATATTCTATACGAGCATATCGTTGGTTAACCCATCCAAACTGGGGACGTATCAGAAACACAAATCCGAGAAGAAATCCTGTAAGAAAGCCTCCAATATGAGCAAAATTGTCCACATGTGGGAGAATCCCCACTGCTAGATTAATAACAATGATGACCACAAGGGTGAAGAGTGCTGCTAGCTACACATGAAAAGAAAATATTGATTGTCAGTAGTTTGCCTTAAAGAGCATTAAGTTTCTTTTTGAGATATTCACAGAACAAAGTTTGAAATTTAATAAGCACCTTATTATCATATATAGACCAGTTAGTAATGAGTTCGGAAAGCATGCCTCCCAGCAAGCCAAAAAGTGCACCAGAAGCACCAACAGAAATGTTTGTCTGAATGAAAAGAGCAGAAAGCAAACTCCCCCCAAATCCAGATATGACAAATAGCAGTCCAATAAGCACTGTAGCACGAATATGCGAGAATTAGTAAAGAATTTAGAGCTAAATCAGGCAAACTATATAACATCTTTGGTGTCAATTTGATTTATTTACCAGATAATAAACAGTGCAGCTCACATTATTCCTCAAATCATACCTTTTAATGTTAATATTTAAAAGTTCTAGAGGCTACCGTGTGTTAACCTTTCACCAACTATTAATTACAAGAAGTCTTATAGTCTACCCTTCAGCTGTGCTGTGCTTGTTGATAATTTTTCACAATAAATAACAAACTTCTAACTGTCTAGTTAGTTTTATCTATCTACTTTGCTATTCAAAACCATATTAGGTGTACAAAACTTTGAGTAATACAGAATAACAGAAAAACCATAAAGACTATATTTCTGTCACCGGTATGTGCTATTTAGTAACAACCATCTTAAAGACTAAAGTTGCTCCAGGGCTTAACTGCTAGAGAACCTGATAATTGCAAGGTACATAGCAAAGACCAAGTCTAAATTTTGAATTTTTCAAACATACCAAACCCAAATTCTTGCTCAAGCCGAATTCCAATGACTAGAACACCCAACATATTTGCCAATATATGGAAAACCCCAGCATGTAGCCACATACAACTGATGAGGCGCCAACCCTGGTGTCTGTGAACCACTCTGTTTACATCAAGACCCCCCATCTTCTGTAGCCTGATCAATAAACAAACACCACTTGTTTAATAACATTAACAATCAAATATTAACAATCAAATCATGATTTAAATTTTTTCTGAGTTAATTAAAACAATTCAAGGGGTATGCCTGAAGTAGTTCTAAAGCTGTTCCTTTAGAACCATATGGTCACAGGTTTTATTGAGGAAACATCCATAAATTGCACTGCTAGATATCATTCAATTACAAAAGGGCAAATCCTGGTATATAAGGCTCCTAACTTGCTATTGTACGCGGTCTTACTCTTACATTTTCACATTTATGCAAAGAGATTGTTTCTCGACCCAATTACAACTACAATTCGTACCATACAATTATAAGCATAATAAAAGAAAATTAAAAGGAAATAGGACAAAAACTCACGTCAATGATGAAGGCCCCAAGAGGGGATTCTCTTTGAAAGGCTGAAAAGAGAAACGACCCAAGAACGTGGCAATGCAAGAGATCGAGTTCTTGGGGCAGTTGTTGACATACATGGTGATGATGAACACAATGATATTGGCAACAACAAAGAATGGGATCAACCAAGGAAACCATTTCTTGTAATGCTTTACATCCCAATTTTCAACTGTGGTTATTACAGCTGGCGCACCAGGTGGGTCTAACACTGGGAGAACAACGTTGTTGCTTTTCCTAGAGTTGACCCTTTGGTGGGTCTCTGATGGAGGTTGCTCTCTAGACATGGAGAATCAACACTAGAGAGCAATTATATGGTGAAAGAGAAACTATGTGTTCTTGAACTGTGTTTTTTTCTTCTTTTTTTGAAGGTGAATTTGATCAAAACTATAGGGATTACAAAGTGGGGTTGGAATGCATCAATGGAGTTTGTTGAACAGAGAAGGGTAGATAAAGTCAGAGGAAGATGATGGATGGAGTCAAAGATTGAGGTTTTAGCTCACCGGTTTTGCTTGCACCTTTGGGACACTACTTGTTTATTATATTTTTCTTCAATCGCTCATTTTACTAATAATTATTCATTGTTTGTACTAAAATAATAATGAATAGAATTTACACTCATTAATCTATGATCGTTATTCGTTCGAATGATTAAGAGTTTAGTTTTATTTTTAAGCAACGTTTTTTTTCCGAATATTATAAGAGATAGATTATATTTGTCAGTTTTGTTACAAATGGCACGAGCCCAAAACCTTTCTAAAATATTTATTCATCAACGGGCCGAACGAGAAACCACAATAAGTGAGCTGAGATCACATTTAACCCTTATTTCACCACTACTCATTCACCCTTGATTATTTTCAACATTCTCCCTCAAGTGTAAGACCCAATATTATTCTTACACCAAGAGCAACTTCTGCGAAAGTCTTTTTCTCTTCAAATATTAAGGTCACACTAGCCTTCTGCAGAGGCCTTCTAAATACTTAGCTCAGCCAAATCGTTGGTTTTGACTCTGATACCACTGTTAGAAATGGTACGAGGGAGCCCAAAACCTTAGCAAATGATTTATTCACCAATGGGTCAAATGAGAAACCACAATAAGTAGGCTGACACTATATTTTTACCCAAAACCTTAAGGCTGTAGGTTTGTGGGTCTTTTATACTTATATGGTCTTCAATTAGTCTAAGTCTAGACTATGTGAAACTTATTTCACCACTACTCATTCACACTTGATTATTTGCAACAAGTTTATTATCAGTTAGATTAAAATCCAATTTTTAAGAAACGTTGTCTTTCAATATTATTTTATGGGGAGAATATTTCTGCAGGTAAAGCAGATAAGCTATCTACTTTTATTTTCAAAACGACGTCATCTTGAGATTGAAAAATTAAAAAAATATAATTATAAAGACTATAATAACCCTGAAATAAATTAAAATTACAAAAACACCATGATTTCTATCCCAAAACAACATCGTATTGGGCTTATTGTAGATAACTTATCTGCAGTAACTGCAGAAAAAACGAACCCTTATTTTATAGGGACATGTTATTTTTACAGCAGTGTAAGACTAACAAGTCTTACACCACATCTCAATTATTGATGGACGAAAATCATCAGTTTATATTCGTAGTGTAATTAACGATTAATTAATAAATTCGTATGACGTCTTAAATTATAACTATTGGATGCACGAAAATTAACAGTTGAGATGTGGTGTAAGACTAAGTCTTACACCGATGTAAAATGATCCTCATCCTATTTTATAATTGTTAATTTAATTTTAATGCAATAATAAAGAAAATAATTATAAAAAGTGGTAAGGGAGAGTAAGTTATAAATATAAATTTTCGCATATTATAATAAAAAAATTAAAAGAGTTTAATTAAGGAAAAAATATTTTTATTTTTGCTATAAAAAATTTCTTTCTATCACACTCATGCTTTTACGGTTTTTTGTTTGATATTAGATTCAATTGTGATCCACTTTTACGATTTTACTGATTTCTTACATAATTAAAAAATCTTGATTATTATAATTGAATTATTTTAATGATATTTTGATCATCTTTTTGGTGAAGGATATTTTTTTTTCTTTGACTAAAGGATTTACTACGATGACATTAACCTTTATTGATATAAAATAATATAGCTAAATAAAAGTTTAAAATAATTTAATTTTAAAATTAAAGCCTCTGTAGTTTTTCAGTACATGAAATGATTTTTTTTTCGTATTACCTTTTTTATATATACGAAACGATAGTCTTTATTATTCCCGAACTCTAAACAACAAAACAATTGGTGAAAAAAAATTGAAAATACATTACATTTAATACAAATGTAAATAGATATCTAATTTTAATCTGAAAAATATTTTATACCATCACGTAATCATTATAACCTCATTAAAAAAAAGTATTACTTTTGAATTATAAATATTGTGATAGTCAAACTTCTTATAATAACATGATATTGCATAATTGAGTGATAATATAAAAATATTAAATTAATGTTACTTCAAAATTCATAAGCAAACATTTTTCAATTTGTGAATAATATATCCATCAATTTATACCCAAACCACCCATTGATTTATTCAGACTTGACCCACTCTTTTGGGTTTTGACCTTTCCGGTTAGCAAGGATTATATCTCGTAATGGTTGCAAGTTGCAACCTTTTATTTTGTTGATTCTTGGTATTATTGTATGGCTTACTATTATAATGTGTTAATTGCGTGTGTTCGCGGTTATTCTAAGGGTGGCAAAATATATGACGGATCGAGTTATCAACATTTAATTTACGGATGAAATTGTTTAATTCAAACACGACATTTTTTTTTTAGGATTCTTTTTTTCTGCAGTTAATGTAAATAAGTTATCTGCAGAAGTTCAATACAATGTCGTATTGGAATGAAAATTATGATATTTTTGTAATTTTAATTTATTTTAGGGTTATTATAGTCTTTATAATTATAATTTTTTAATCTTTCAATCCCAAAATGACGTCGTTTTAAAAATAAATGCAGATAACTTATCTGCATTAACTGTAGAAATAATTTTCTGATTTTTTTATAGGTAAAAAATTCAAACCCGAACACTATTCATCGGGGATCATGAAAAACATGGACAGACAAAAATTAAAAAATTGATTTAAATAAAACCAAGAATACCTTAATTAAATTCACGAATTGAAACATGAACTATGACCCATATAGTGTCGTATCAAAATCACCAAAATTGTAACTCTTTTCTTTATTTTAGACCAAAGAGTTATGAGTTGATAGATGGGTCAGCTTTTGACACTACATAATAACAATTGAGAAAAGTTCAAAAATTCTCATATGATTTATGATAATTCTAAAAACACTAGATCATATATGATTATAAAATACCTAGATACTAATAGAATCAAAAGTGATTGTGTGTACCTTGTTAGGCGATCACAGAATCGGAGGAAGGGAAAACTTGATGCTAGGGTTTTCTTCTCTATTGCATATCGTTCTTGGCAACATTTGCAATAGGAGCACATACGACACACAGAGCCAAACCTTTTGTTTAATAGGCTAGAGAGAAGATCTAGGCAAAAATCCCCCAATCAGAAAGTTTGGCTCCACCCATCATGAAAGCCAGAGTCACACTAAAACCTACACTGTTGCCCAACTATGTCCAATCCAATTAGATGCCATCAACCCAAAATCACAACATGATCACAATGAACTTAATTAAATAATTAACCGGATTCGAATATTATTAACCATAATATTTTGAAATACTAATACATAATTAATTAATAAAGCTCAAATAACATATAAATTTTGACAGTGTACTCTTTTATCATGTACCCCATACATATATATATATATATATATATATATATATATATATATATATATATATATATATATATATATATATATCACTTAAGTACCTTATGATTTTTTTTCATCTAAGTCTACTTTAAAACACAATTAGTAATTGAACTAACCTGCATACTTTATCCCTATTTTACTTGTATAAAAGTTGTTAACCTAACATAAAGATCTTGATCATCAACAATAAATTGCCTTTTATTGATTTAGTGATTTTAGCCAAAATTTGAATGATAGATTACTGCTTTTGATATAGGTAAAACAAGGATAAAATGGGTAAGTCAATTCGATCACTAATGGTGTTAAATGTAGACTTGGATGAAAATAATCACATGGGAGGAAAATGATAAGAAAACAACATGGGGTGGGGTCCAGTTGGGGGGGGGGGGGGGTAAGTGATAAAAGAGTGAAATACAGGTTTTGTATTTTTTGTAACTTTTCTCGTTATAATTTGTGTTTCCTCAAAGCCGTTTGAATCCATAGGAAGACACGACATGTGTTTTAACGTGTCGTTTGCGAGTCATTACACATTTTATCACACCTAATTTATAGGAAGGTACTATCTACTAAAAGACATTTTCACCCAAATGTGTAATTATATGACATCAAAATCTAAACTTAAGTTTAAACATATAATTAAAGCCATCACTAGGCATCAAATTAAAGAAATCATTGTGGTTTTTGACACATATATAATAATATGATGAGATATCATTATTCATTTTTATTAACTTGTATAATAATATAGGTTTAGTGGTTAGATATACACACAGGATAAACTTTTTCCGTATTAAAAAAATTAAAAGAGAGAGAGAAAAGAAAAAGAGCATGATATCTCATGGATGTACACACACTTCGCATGACACACACTCTAAAATTTCGGAGGAGAAAGAAGAAGACAAACCAAATAAATACAAACAAAGAAGAAAAAGAGAGAAATTGAAGAAAGATTAATCGATAGAGAAGGAAGTTCAAGTGAATGGGGAGAAAATGTTCTCTCACTGTTTAGACATGTCAAAGTTAAGAGAAAGGAAAGGAAAGAAAATAAAAGAAAGAGAATAAATGAGGAATAAATAATGGTAATATTGGATTAATGCTCAAGTGATAAAAAATTTATTTTCTTTAATAAGAGGTTTTGATTTCATTTTGAGAGAATCAATTTGATTTAACAATGCTTGGATCAAATTAGTTGGATATTCAATAACCTAGTAAATATATATAAAAAATAAAGGTGATATTTGCGAATCAAAAGAAATATTTTCGCCAATTTTTTTCTAAATTTTCTCAAAAAAATAGCTTGGGAACTAATGAATTTTATATGCAAATTTGCAATGATTTTGTTATAGACTTGACATAAAGGCCCACATTCTAAAAGGCCCAAATAGGGCAAACAACTAAGAGAAAAATTAAGAAAAGATTAATCCATCAAAGGTCCAAAATTCCACTACCCACAAGTAAACTCTATAAATAAGAGGTAAAACCTATAAGTATGACAACTTACTTACTCTCTCTATTAGTTGTCAATGT